CTACTTCCAAACATGCCCTTTTTCAGCCTACCCCTTACCCTTTTTGAGACTTCCACTTGAACCAACTCGCACCTCTTAACAGATGTTGTACTGAGTTTACCACACATGGCCAGACCACCTAAGTCAACTCTCTCTCATCTTAACGCCTATCGGTGCCAAACCTAAATTTTTCCCAATGAATTCATTTCGAATTTTATCTCTTCTTGTCTTGCCACTCATCCATCTCAACATCCTCATCTCCACTACACTCATTCTCTGGACATATTGTTTTTTTTGTCCACCAACATGCCGCCCGTTGAGCAAAGCTGATGTTACAGTTGTCCTATAGAACTTGTTCTTCAGCTTCATTGGTATGCAACTGTCACACAAAATTCCGATTGCACATCTCCACTTCGCCCACCGAGCACTAATTCCATGTGCAACATCTTTCTCGATCTCTCCATTTTTTAAGATTGTTGCCCAAGATATCAAAAGTGCGGTCTTTTTGCTATTTCATGCGCCGTCAATCTTAACTACTTCCTCGTCTCTACTCCTATTATGACTAAATTTGCATTTGATATACTTTGTCTTAGTCCGGTTAATTTTAAAACCTTTAGATTCTAGAGCATCCCTCCAAAGTTCTAACTTTGTATTGACGCCATTTCGGATCTTATCGATCAAAACTATGTCAAACAACATGCACCACGGTACCTCATCTTGTAGGTGCCTAGTTAAGTCGTCCATAACTAAGAAAAAGAGTATGGGTTCAATGCTGACCCATAATGTAGACCTATTTTCACTGAAACTCACTCGTCTCTCCACTAGTTAGCGCTCCATCATACATATCTCCCACCAAGTTGATGTAGTGTTTGAAAACTCTTTTCTTTTCCAATACCCGCCAATTCAAATCTTGAGATACTCTATCATAAGTTTTCTCTATATCGATAAAGACCATGTGGAGGTCTTTTCCCTTCATCGTAAACTTCTCAATCAATTGCCTAAGTCGAAAAATAGCATCGGTTGTTGACCTACTTAGCATAGAACCAAATTGGTTTTCAGATATACTTGTTTCTTGCCTTAGTCGTTGCTCAATCACTCTCTCCCAGAGGTTCATAGTATGGCTCATATGCTTGATCCCTCGATAGTTCGCACAATTTTGTATGTCTCCTTTGTTCTTGAAAATAGGTACCATAGCACTTTCCTCCATTCGTCTGGTATTTTCTTTGTTCTCGACACCTTGTTTCACAGCTTTGTATGCTTGTCAATGCCAATCTCCCTCATACACTTCCAAAGTTCTATCGGGATGCCATCTGGTCCTAAAGCCTTTCCTATCTTCATCCTTTTCAAAGCTTCTTTCACTTCCAATATCCTAATCCTACGAATGTATCTATAACCTCTACCCTCATTTATGCCAACGGTTCGTTGTTCCTTCTACCACTATGTTACCATTGTATTTGTCATTTAATAATTTTTTAAAATAAACTCTCCACCTTTCGTTGACATCTTCATCCTTCACCAAGACCCTTTGATCCTCACTCTTAATGTATTTAATATGTTCTAGATCCCTACACTTCTTCTCTCTCATTTTTGCTAATTTGAAGACATCTTTGTCACCTATTTTTATTCTCAGTTTACTGTATAAATTATCATATGCCTTAAATTTAACCTTACTTACCATTTGTTTAGTATTTTTCTTAGCAGTTTTATATTCTTTTAAGTTTTGATCATTTCTATTATTATGCCAAGTTTTATAACATGATCATTTTTCGCTAATGGCCTTCTGAATCTCATCACTCCACCACCAAGAGTCCTCATCAGAATCTCTTTTCCCTCTAGATTCTTCTAAAACTTCTTCGGCCACTTTCTTAATACAGTCAACCATCTCATTCCACATAACATAGACCTCAGGTTCAAAGTTTCATTTTTCTTTTTTAACTAATTTATCCCTAAATAAGTCGATTTTTTCATTTTTAAAATTCCACCACCTAGTTCTTGAACACCCATTACTTTCACCCCTTCTCTTCCAATGTCTTTATGCAAACATCCATAACTACGAGCTTATGTTGGGTAGTCAAACTCTCTCGTGGGACAACTTTGCAGTCTTTACATGATGGTCGATCTACCTTCTGAACTAGAAAGAAGTCAATCTGGCTTTTATGTGATCTACTTTTATAGGTTATTAAATATTCATCTTGCTTTTTAAAGTATGTTTTTGCTATTGCTAGGTCGTATGCCATAGCAAAATCTAGAACAACCTCACCCATCTCATTTCTTTCTCCAAACCCATATCTCCCATGTACCCCTTCATATCTTCTACTATCCTTCTTTACGTGACCATTTAAGTCCCCTCCTAAAAAGGTCCTCTCTTCATTTGGTATGTCTTGAACTATTCTATCCATGTCCTCCCAAAATTATCTCTTAATTTATCCTCTAATCCTATTTCTGGTGAATAAGCACTAATTATGTTAATTATCTCTTCCCCTAACACACGTTCAATTAATAGGAGCCTATCACCTATTCTTTTGACATTAACTACTTTGTCTTTTAAATAATTTGTTTACTATTATGCCTATGCCATTTCTATTATATTTCTTTCATGTATACCAAAGTTTATATCTATCTATTTCTTTAACTTTTTCTCGTTTCCATTTAGTTTCCTGTAGGCAGGCTATGCTTACTCTCCTTCGTCTCATTATATCCACTAACTTTATACTCTTACCTGTAAGCGTTCCTACACTCCATGTGGCTAGACAAATCCTATTCTCTTGGACTAGCTTCTTTACCCACGTTCGTCAAGAATGTCGCGTGAACCCTTGCATATTTTCACACCAACTGAGCAGCATTGCGACGCGTTGCTTCTGGGGAATGCCCTAGCTAACCCTTGCTCATTTCACATTGTACCCAAGTTTCGGTACAGCGCGTCGCTTCTGGGCGCCCCAACTAACCCGTGCTCATTTCTCACTATACCTGAGTTTCGGAAGAACACATCGCTTCTGGGGAACGCCCTAACATAATCAAATAATGTAGGTTCAAGATTCATGATAAGTTTTGAAAAAATTTTAAGTTAGCTACCCACCTATCACAACCCAGCCCCTTTACTCGGGCATGGGACAGGTTAAGGGAAGGAAACTTTAAGGTCCTCACCCTTCTTAGACCATTTCACAACCACTTGCTTTAAGAAAAATCTCTATTAATGACTGTCAATCACAAGAGCATACAGAATCAAAAAATACTACACCTTACCATTGCGTCGGAGTAGTAGCCCTCAAAGAGGTAACAGACTCTTACAATAGATGACACAAACTTTCTCTAATGGAAAAGTCAAGTTATGGTTGTCGTATGCAACCAACATTTCCTCTGCCGTTCTGATAGACAGAACTAACCTACCTGGTTTACCGGCGAATTCGACTCTACTGCAACTGCATCCAGCAAGATAATACCTCATAGGAATCCAACCCCGCATAAAAAGAACTTTTTCAAGATCTTCTGCTCATCTGCCACAGACCAAATCTTGAATTTTTACATGAACAAGGAGGTTTAGGACATCCCACTCTCAAGACTCAAAAGCTTGAATACTGCAACAACACCCAGAGCTTCAACAAAACGTAAAATACCCAGCATGATGACAAATTATGTGCATGATGCAGCAGCAGTTAGAGCTCATTCATTCTCTACAAGACTTCAAGTCTCTTCTTTCTTGTCAGCCTCAGGTATGCCTTTTTTATAATGATTGGAAGATTGATTATGGTGGATCCATTCACAAGCAATTTCTTAGTATCAAATGTTCCAAACTGTTTGACTCTTCAAAGCAATTTTTCAGATACGAACATTTGGTTCATCATTACACATTCATTTTAGTGGTTAAAAAACTGTATTTATTTGCCTCATTCCTTTTTGGTACCTGGAATGGCGCCTCAGTGTCTGTAGACCAGCTTATGGATCATAATGGTAATACTACTTTCTCTATTAATATTTGTTCTGTTCAATATGGTGTCAACACTTGAGTGGGATGACAGTAGAGAGGTTGAAATGCGTTCTCAAGATTGAGTACTTCTTTCCTCAGCAAATATACAAGTACAAATTCCATAGAGGTTGCACCTATCCCTCAATAACTAGAACTTCCTTGTTATTACAAGTTCCTTCAGTTAATCAAAATTACAATAATGAACTTTCCAAAGACTTGAATTCACTTCGTGAGATAAAAAATATGAAGTCCGTAAATATTTTAAGGTATAGCGTATCCACATTTTTTAGACAACTTGTGCTGAATTCAAAATTTTATGCTAATATTCAAGGGACCATTATTGGTTAAAAAGTTTTCAAGAACATGATTAGTCAGGGGGTATTATTCATCAATATTTCATGTCACCAAGTTCATTTAAAATATAACTGCTTGGAGACATAGCAAGAGTAAAACAAAACCCAGAAAGCCCAAAAGGAATGGAGGACCCCCCAATTAATCAAAGCATCTCCTGTTGCCTCCCAAACTAACACAACATTAAGCTCTTTCTTATCTTCTTTTCTTCTCCTATTGCATTAACAGCCCTATCATGGCGATAACATAAGATTATATCAACTACCCAAGAGAGAAGCACTATTTAACATTTTACACATATGCAATCATTCCAAGTAATAATCATGTGCCGTCTGATGGGTGTTTTGAAATTAAATCAAATTGCATGGATGAGATGCTAAGTCGTTCATCTTTCGAGGGTATTTTCATAAATTTCCCATACAAATTTAATGAACTTTCGTCACCCACAGGAAATAATCGGTGCCTTCTCTCTACATGTAAAATGATATCAGGAATTTTTCAGCAATACCACCCTATTGAGATCAAAATTACAGTGGTAAAATGAAGATAAAAACCTACAAAGAATGGGGAAAAAAAAACGTATATCCAAGCAAACTATGAAAGTCAAAATTGATCATGGAATCAGTAATTCTCACAGAAGAATTTGAAATTTATATATAAAATCATGAAGAAAATGTAAAACTTCATGAGGAAAATGCAAACATACTGATTTGGTACCAAGGGTGTTGTCTTCAAGCTAGGTTGCACAACTTGTCCAATAGAGAATATTCCACCACCATGTATCCCATCCAAGCAGTGAGCAAACATCTTCTTGACCTTCCCAGATGAAGCTAACTGTGAAATCACAGATGAGTTTGCTTGCCCAAAACCAAAAATGCCATCCAGTGCTTGGTCATCTTTGCCAAGCTGTCCAGATTGATGAGCTCCACACCTTTACCAAATTTAAAGAAAAACTTATTTTAAAATATGAAACAAAATTCATTTCTAATATATTGATTTGAATTCAGAAGGAGCAAAACTAGAAATTACCAATAAAGACTAACTCTTGCTGATTAAATGCCAATAAATTAAAGCAAAGTTTGCAATACATTTTCATAAGATGAAGACGAAGCAACAGCAGAAAAACAAAAAATACTTCATTGTAGCTTGGTTTTATTGCGCACCACCTTTTGCTATGACTTAAATAAACATGGTAGTTCCCAAGGCCACCCCATTTCTCCACAGTTATTTCATTCTGAAATAAAGTATTGCTTTAAGCTAAATATTCTTAGACAAACTATTTACAAAATCCAACGCATGCCGAAGATATAATAAGATTGCAGCATAACAAAGTCAACCAAAAAATACTTATATCAAGTGCTAAACATAGAGCTAGATTAAAGTGTATCAAGCATAAGAATGTGCAATCCTATATCCCCTGAAAGCTGAAGACTTGAAGTTTAGTAGCAACCACACCCATTTCCTATCAAAACATATCCTCCTGAAAGTTATTTCATTAAATAATATTGATGGGTCATCAGTAATTATTACTTCCAAGCTACAACAAAGAAAAGCAATACAGCTCACACTTTTTTTTTAACACCTTCAAAAATATAAAATAAAATAAAAAATAAGTTAAAAGTCCTTTTTATCATTATTTCTGTTTTATTAAGTTATTAGGACCTATATGTCCTATTTCCGGTTTGTATGGGCACTATTGTCATTTTGATTATTTCATTAAATAATAAAAAGGGTTGAGAGGTGTGTGAGGCCTAATTTGGATCCTCATATTGCTCTCTTATTCCCTCTCTTTTTTTTCATCTCTCCCTCCCTAAGGCTGTTTCCTAGGGTTTAGTGTGCAGAAACCATGGGTTTTTTGTTTAATATGGTGATATTGTTGTTTGTGTGATTCCTCTTTAAAGATTGAGATAAATAGTGGAATCGTTTCCTAACTTCAAAGTTCATGGGTCATCGTGGATGATCCATTAGAGTTTTTTCTCAAGAAAAAAAAAGCCTAAATTTTTGTGTGTATGGATGCTGCCCAACTACTCAAGGAGTGGCAGCATGGTGATACTCAGATTTGGATAATGTGGTATTGCCCTTCTTTGTTTAAATGTGAGAAAGTGACTATGTTCAAATCTAAATGATAAGCATCTCTCTTCTTCTTTTTTAAGTTGTTTATAACCATCTAATGGCTTCCTTTATATTTTATTTCATACAGTCATGCCCAATGAAATTAAACCCTGAACCTTCAGCCTTCCTGAACAAGAGGGATACAAATTATTTAAATAAAATTAAATGAGTCCAATTATATTGTCTGGGCTCAATCTATTAAACTATCTAATGAAGGAAAATTGATTCGTTAGTAAAATCAGTAAGAAAACAAGCAAAGCCAAACACAAGCATCTATTCGAAGAGGCCTAGAGTTTCTTCTCTATACCCATAACCCAAACTAGGGTTCAAAAGCCTGGAGTTTTTACTCCTCTTTCTGAAAAAACAAGTCACGTGAATAAGCCTTCAGCCCCCCATGTACCACTTTTATATCCTTTTTAATGTTCAAGAGATAATGATTGTCCATACAAATAATAAATCACCTAGGCGCCCAGGCTAACTAGGTGGCCCAATGAAGCACCTTGGTGAGGGCAAATAAAGGCCCTCATCCAACGCAAAAAATGTCAAACCCCCCACCCCCCTCTCCCCCACCCAACACATACAAAAAACAACAAAAAAAAAAAAGGTGGGGAGGGGGGCATCTTAGTCCCCCCAAAACCCATTCGTGTGAATTTGGAGATTTGAAGAGAGCTTGACATTGACCCAAGTCGCAGGAAATGTACCCCTATATACAGCAGAGAGCTTAACATGGACCCTCATTCATGAGGCAGCTGATATTGCATCGACCCTTGTGCAGACTACAAGATCTCAAGCTCAAACAAAGGGGGAGGGGAAAAGGCCAATGAGAGTAAGAGAAAAGGAGGATGAGGCAAACTCAGAGGAGACGAGGGAAGAAGATAAATATGAGAACGAGGATAACTCTGATGATGGCTTGGCATCATCATCAGATTCAGGGGCATTTGATGCTGGTCATAGAGATGGACCTGTTGTTGCTAGTGATGATGAACTCAACAGTCTCAACTTCAAATTTGAGTTTATCATATTTGTTTTCTCGTTCTAATTATGTTACCTTATGTCATGTCAGTTGTGATTGTACTGGAAAAATAACTTGCGCTAGTTATTGAGATTTTCTATTGTTGCATAATGGATGAATCTTAGACAATTTTCCCTCATTTATGCCAATCATTCAATTTCCCAATTCAAAGTCATGTATGTTCAAGTTTGAGCTGCAACATAATATTACAAGAAAAAACTATGAAACAATGGCTTTTTGAAAAAAAAAAAGAAATAGATGTTATATGCACTCAATCAAGCAGGTCTACTAACCAATCGTACATCCCAATATAATCCTCAAGGCCCTAGAGCAACCCATCTCTACATGTTGCCCAAGTATCTAGGCCCCTGCCTAAGTTGACGCCCAGCCACCTAGGGGGCTGAATCTGCCTTCTTGAACACTGATCCTTATTTAGCTCCCCTTTGAACTTCTGCAAGAGTAGGTTGGACCATGATGGAATGGAAGACAGCAAGCACAATAAAGAGCAGGCTCATCTCCCTCATTTTTAGGATACAGAAAGAAAAGAACAAAAGAATTTACATTAAGGATCAAGCTAAAAGTAGGAAATTGTTAAAGTGATCAGGGAAGCAAGATTAAGTTGGGCAATATCAAAATTTGGCAATGCAAAAACCCCCACATGCACAATTTCTAAGAAATCGACAATCAGGCCACATGTGTAGTGAGGGCCATCAAGCTAAATTTTTAAAGATGCTTACACTAGGTCCAACAAGCTACCATTGGGTCTTCCTGGAAAAGCAATGCCAACATTCTAAATTGCTTTGCGGGCCCAATGAGAATATGGATGAATAAATACCTAAAACAATTTCACAAGAAAGGTGGAAGAAAATATTTATTTCCATTACTAAATTGGATGCAGAATGACTATGTCATATCCAAAATAGCTATCATCATCATCATCATCATCATCATCATCATAGCATTTTCTCAATTATTTGGGGTCGGCTGCTACACAAATCCTGGTCTGCCAATTTGCTCTATTAAAAACCATACCCTTAGTAAGGCCATAAATCCCTATATTTTTTTGGACTACTTCCAACCACATCCTTTTGCGCCTACCATTCGCCCTTTTCAATCCTTCCACTTGAACTAACTCGCACCTCACAGGTGTTGTACTAGGTTGGCGCTAAATTTTTCCGAATGGATTCATTTCGAGTTTTAGCCTTCTTGTCTTGCCACTCATCCATTTCAATATCCTCATTCTGCTACACTCATTCTATGGGTATACTCGTTTTTGTCTACCCAACATTCCTCCCCATAGAGCAAAGCTGGTCTCATAGTTGTCCTATAGAACTTGCCCTTCAGCTTTGTTGGTGTACGGCAATCACATAAAATTCCAGTTGCACATCTCCACTTCGTCCACCCAGCTCTAATTCTGTGTGCGACATCTTCCTCAATCTTTCTATTTTCCTGGATTATTGGCCCAAGATATCGAAAGTGCAGTCGTTTTTGTACTTCTTAGCCGTCAATCTTAACTATTTCCTGGTCTCTACTCCTATCATTACTAAACTTGCATTCCATATACTCTGTCTTAATCCGGTTAATTTTAAAACCTTTGGATTCCAGAGCATCCCTCCAAATTTCTAACTTTGTGTTAACGTTGTTTCAGGTCTCATCGATCAGAACTATGTCATATGCGAACAACATGCACCATGGTACCTCATCCTATAAGTGCCTAGTTAAGTCATCCACAGCTAAAACAAAGAGATGCGGGCTAAATGTTGACTATTGATGTAGACCTATTGTCACGAAAAACTCATTTGTCTCTCTCCACTAGTTAGCACTCCATACATATCTCTCACCAAGTGTCTGGAGACCCCTTTCTTTTCCAACATCCACCAAATCAAATATCGAGGCACTCTATCATAAGCTTTCTCTAGATCAATAAAAACTATATGGAGGTCATTTCCCTTCACCCTAAACTTCTCAATCAGTTGAAGAAATAGGAAAACAAATATTTGAGCATAGCCAATGAGTCCAAGTTTAATTGAACCAACATAAGGGATTAAAGAATGCTCAAGTTTCAAAGTACCCTTAAAATCATCCAAATGGTAGGATGTTTCAGATGTATTTTCCAACCAAGGGCAGTTTCAATCTTGTTGATCCACAATTACCATAATCCAGAACGTATTCAGTGTGGCAGTGAGTCTCGAACAAAATTCCAGCTGACCATAAATTTGGGATTTTTTTTATGAAAAATGGCATTCATTACAGGCTCTTTGACCATTTTACAATTCACATTTAACAGGCAGGGCGTCACTCTATTGTGCATATTACAAAATATCATCGAAACAGGCCCTTAACACTTCACCAGAATTGATAAAAGATGAGAATTCCACCAAAGAAAACATCTTTCTTTTTATAGCAATATATATGAATAAATAACATTCCATTAGCGACTCCATTTCTAATTAAATTGAACATAAGGGAGAAAGGAACATCAAAGAAATTTATAAAGCGAGAGGATCTAACCCAAATACAACACTCGCATTTGCTGGAGTGGTTTGGAAATTGCCAGAGACCCGTTCATACTGTATGTAATCTTGGACATAGAATCCAGAAGTTGTGCTTCCATCTCCATACTCAACCCCATATGGACAAGCCACATCTGGGGTGCAATCTTGAATCGGACCCTGATAAGCAATGGAGCAGAATGGGTCTGCACACGAAATCGGGTTCCCACTGCTAGAACCACTAGGATCATAGAGGGTAAGATGGACCTGCATGTTTTCAATGAGAACCAGTTTTATGAAACTTGCAAAATTCTTAGTTCTCAAACTTGCAGTACATAAAGCAAAGAGAAGAACGATACAAAACAATCAAAGAGTCTCAGAAATAGAAGAGATACGCTGTTATGAAGAAAATGGGCAGTCAAGTAATTATATAATAATGAGGAACACCAGAAAATGTGTAGATGAATGATACTTACTACACCCTTCACGTTTTCCACCAAAGAAGCTAATGGTCATGCTAATAGCAAATCTTGAATTGACAATACTACAATTTAGTATTCACAGGGAACAAAAAAGTAAAACCACCAACAAAGAAATATTTGTAGAAAAGAAAAGGCCAGCAATCCCTCCTACAAGGTCTAAATTACAAATCCCGTGGATCCCTTTTTTCTCTCTTCGATAAAATCGATCGTAAAATTTTCAACAGCAACATAGAGATGAAAATAAGGCTGCATATTCCAATTATAGCAAGTGTGAACATGAAGCAAAAGAATTTGAGCGTACCCCTAGACCACTTTTCTTGGGGCAGCGGGTGCACTGAATGCAATTCACCCATAAAATGTCACTTCCAGTGTCAATCTGCACATAGTAATCCTTTGCTGGGTTCCCAATCTTTATTTGAGCATAATACAACCTAAAATGGCCAAATGATTCAAAAAGTCAGTATCCAAACACCCCAAACTAGAAGAGTGTAAAAAATCAGAAATATTTTCAAGCAACAAAAAAAGTGAAAAATGAATGCCCCAGAATGAGAAACACAAAATAATGAAATCCCAGAAAAGAGAATAAAACACAGAAGATTTCGGAAACAACTTCAAATACTGAAAACCAAAATCCAAACACCCCAAACCATAAAAAATTTGAAATTCTAGGGAGCTAAATAAAAGAGAGATGATTTGAAGAGTAACTTCAAAATAATAAAAGCGATACCCAAAAAAGGAAATATCATAAAGGAGAGAGTAAATGAACTGCATAATTAACTACCCCCAAAAAATGAACAGCATAATTAATATAGCATGCCCAATCCTTTGGCTTCATGCCCAATCCTCAGAAACCAAACATGGAAAACGAATAAACCATGATGAAGTAAAAAGATAGGAAGTGAGAGGGGGGAGCGACAGAGCGAGATACCCTGTATTAGTGGGATCACCATCTCCACCCAAGTGTACATCAATTGCAGAGAGGATGCGGCCATGGCGCCTAGCATCGTGAGATTTCAATTCCGTAAGGTTCTTTCCAAGCCCCTTAAACTTGTGTTGAACCCTGAGAACACCAGGAGAGCACGACCCACCCCGAAAGAAAAGCACAACAAAGAGAACCGCACAAACCTGCCCACGTTGAACCAGATCCATGGAGGCCGAATGAACCAGAGCCCAATTCCTCAACAAAAAAAATATATATATATATATATATATATAGAGAGAGAGAGAGAGAGAGAGAGAGAAGAATAGAAGGAGGAACGAACGACCAACGAACCCCAAACCTAACTCCGTACCCCAACCGTAGACGACGAAAAGGAAAAACGGGGACGGGAAGAAAGGTAAAAG